GGGTGTGATATCCAATCAGTGTGCATACTATATACATATTCAACTATAAAGAATACACTCAAGATTCATCGTATTCCAAGCTGTACTTTCACTTGTGTAATATCGAAGGGTGTGGTATCCAATTAGTGTGCATAATAACTATAAACACTACTGAATACTATAGACTCAACACCCACAGCATCGGCCTATTTAACCAGTGTGTGTACTAATTACATAATCAACTATATAGAATGAACCCAATACTCACCGTATCCCAAATTTGTAGCTTCACTTGCGTATTATCGATGGACACCATACGCGCACCGAATTCAACGCCTATGGTCAAGTCGTGCACTGGCTGAAATCGTTTGTCCGTGAACTGTAACAGCAGACATGATTTACCCACGCCTGTATCACCTATTATAATGTATTTGAATAAGTATGCATATGAAGCCATGTTGATGATGTGTAGCTTGCAAGCGATGCAGAGGTGTCTCCTCTATACTATATTTACTTCTGAATCGATTCGATTCCGAGTAATACGAATATTCACATTTGATGATGAATGTAAACATATCGCTGTAAAATTTTGTGTATTTTATATGCTCTCTATTTTTTTGTATACAATACTATAGTATTTATGTATGATATTTATAGAAATTAGAATAAATACATTATTTTAGATATAAATAAAAAACCAGGAAACTTATACAATGGGTACCGAACCTTTCTTAGAGAAAGAACACCTATTACTAATTAAATTCATGATTCAGGCAATACCTACAAATATACGCCAATCACAGACATTTACGACACGTTTGAAACTAATTCCGAGTCGGATTTTAAAAAAGGCAATACTCACTAAATCATATTCCTCGAAATCACAGGGACAGTTAGTCGCAACTTACAGGACACAGACTCACAGTCGGACAGGACATACTCTGTACGAAATATTTTGTCTTGTGGTTATGAGGATCTTATATAATGCTCTACATTGACTATCCAACTACTAGTGATACACAGTCTGCCGTGTTCTGCTTGAATCTCTCCCTCTATACCTAGACTATTCACGCAGGTATATACTAAGTGCATAATATATGTTTATGTGCACGCGCAGGAATGTGGGGCATAGCTTATGTGCACGCGCAGGAATGTGGGGCATAGCTTATGTGCTTTGAATTTATTGCATATCGTTTCCATGGAGGTCTACCAAGGCTTCGGTAAACTACGTGTTTTATATATCATTTAGATTTTTTATATCTGTGTCGTCATATGCTTGTGAATCATTTAGAAGATGTATGTACTGAGCTAAACATCGCGACGCTATCTGTTTGATATTTAAAAACAAATGCAACTCACAGGCACATAATATACCTCTCAGAGCTTGTTCGATGTACCGCGCGTCGTGACAGACAGTCGTAGTATAAGTGTCCCAAAAGTAGACTAGCGTTGTCTGCGATGCATAGAATTATTTTTGTTTTAAATAATTTATGATTCAAGTATTCAGAATAGGTGGATTAAACAATATATTATGGATATATCTATAAATATACTTATATTATATATATATATATATATATATCTATATATATATATATATATATATATATGCATTTAAGTATGTACATATACATATATATAAACAAATACATACTTCATACATTCACATACACACACACACATACACAGTCTCTCTCTCTCTCACTCACTCAAACACACACACACACAGTCTCTCTCTCTCTCACTCACTCAAACACATACACACACACACATACACTCAAACACACGTACACACGCGCGCACACACACACACACACATGAATATGTTTGCATGTATAGTAAACATACATCATATATGCATAAAAATGAATATATACGTATATAATTGCATAAATATATGCATAGACCTATACATTTATACATGTAAACATTATCGCACACGAACACACGCATATATATATATATATATATATATATGTATTTACTATTTACTATTTACATATATATATTTGCGCATATATATATGTATATTTATATACATATATCCATACATAATATAAATTTGCAGATACACACATATATATATTTATACATATAGATATATATACATATGGACGTACACACATAATATTAAAGCGTGTTTCATATTTCAAGTATGTATGT